ATATAATATTACATATATATATATATATATATATATACATATATATATATATATATATATATATATATACATATATATATATATATATATATATATATATATATATATATATATATATATATATATATATATATATACATATATATACATATATATATATATATATATATATATATATATATATATATATATATATATATATATATATATATATATATATATATATATATATACATATATATATATATATATATATATACATATATATATACATATATATATATACATATATATATATATATATACATATATATATATATATACATATATATATATATATATATATATATATATATATATATATATATATATATATATATATATATATATATATATATATATATATAAAGAAATATACATATAGTGGTTCCAATATATATATATATATATATACATATATATACATATATATATAAACATTTTTACAATATATATATATATATATATATATATATATATATATATAAACATCACATTCTATATATATATATATATATATATAAACAGTCCCAAAACACGAAAAATAGAGCAACCCATGCCCTCAAACGAACTTCTATCAAGGAAAATATCCGAAATTTATATAACCACCAAGATGTGTCGCCCACACACACCGGTACTGCGGTATCAAAATAACACACTCTGAATCCGTTTACAGGTTTCACATTGTCAATACTGGTAAAACAGGCCTGAACACACCACTGGATAATGTTTACTGTTCGGCAAAGATGACAATTGCTTAAATACATATGCCATAGTTTAAGTTTCTCGAAATCGAAAAGGTCCTTTAACTGTGAATTGTGACCGGGCATTAAAACTACTTCTATTTCAATATAGCCTAGCTCTAGCGACGGTACTTTATGTAATCCGAAACCAATACGGTGTTGCTGATAAGTGAAGAATAAGCAGCTCCGATATAGCAGTAATATTCTATTTTTAGTTTATTCTGACACTTTTAAAGATAAAACATGGCAGGTGTCGGATAATTCCTGGGTTGACAGAATAAGCCGACTAATTTTCCCAACATCATTGGTAATGGATCGTATATATGAGTTCCACTTGAGGTCTGCTATTCAATTGATTTGTCTTCTGAACTATTCATATAATAATTATTAATATTGCCTAGTCAGAAGCCAACAGAGTGGCGTGGAGGGGTACATATATACGAAGTCCAATACGCCCATCCTGTTATTCAGTCTGATAAGAGTATACCAGGCACATGTATCACATGCTCAATAGAATGTAAGGTTTTCCTAAAAAGTGGTACATAACACTGCAGGTGGAACCTAGTTAGAAATACCTTCAGGTTGAGTAATCAGTCCGTTTAGATGGCTACCGGTTGATGGCGTTGTCAGTTATCTAGATTAGAGTTACAAGTTGCCTTGGCTGCCTCACCCTTCTCCTGTCTCTCTCGTCACCTGCCCCCTCATTATGCTCACTCATGAACAATAATACACAGTATGTCAACTACAAGAAGATCTGCCTATCTTGTTAAGGGTAGGCAATTGACATTAAATCTGTTGTAGTGAAATGTATATTTACTATTATTATTATTTATTCTATCGAGTTAGCTCGGACATTAATGGGTCTATTACGCCAGCCATCACTGTTCTGCACCAAGATTTGAAGGTCATTAGGGAGGTATTCTGTGTCATAACATGGCTGGTCAATGTAGGTAGTTCCTGGGCGATCAACCCGTCTTTCAGCACTTGTGAGTTCTTGTTTCGCTCGCCAGCAGTATCCTGGAAAGTGTATTCTGCGTTCGCGTAAGATTGTAGAAATATCAGAGATGGGTCCATAGAACTGTGATTTAGTTGGATGTTGTCTCCAAGAGATGTTAAGTATAGTTCTCCGCATCCGAGTGTAGGTTCCATCAAGCTTTAGATTCTAGGGTTTGAGTTAATGTCCAAGCAGTGGCACCATACGTTAACATCGCCTCTACAGTGGCTCGAAAGAAAAAAAGTTGACAGATATTGACTATGCAGATTACCTAGCTATCACTACAGAAATCATTACCAATGCCACAGTTCTCCTACATCATCTAGAAAATGCTGCCAACGATGTTAAACTCTGTCAATGTCTCTAAAACTGAATTCATAGGCTTCAACCAACAAGGCTCAATACAAACTGTCCTGGATGAATCAATAAAATCTGTTGAATATTTTACATAACTGGGAAGCGAGATAAGTTCTACTGAAATGATGTTAAAATTCGCATAGTTAATGTCGCGGCCATTTTGAATACAGTGGATGTAATCTGGAAATCTGATCTACCAGACAACCTCAAGCGCAGTTATTTACTATAGACAAACTTAATTTACTATTATGAGCAGCAGTAGTAGTAGTTCTTACCTGTTCATAACTTGAGAATTAGATATATATATATATATATATATATATATATATATATATATATATATATATATATATAGATAACTAGACTCGTTTTGAAAAACCCTCGAATTTTGATTTGCTAATCAAATCAATTTGAGGGAAAAAAGTTTAAAAAAAGAAAGAGCTACAAACATGAACTTCTGCCGACAAAAAATCGCACAGATGCAGGTCTGAAGCCCAAAGAAAAACCCTGATACGAGTAAAAACTAACTAACAAAAGAGCTCAATACAACCGTAGAGCAGACCTAGATACACCTAGTGAGCCAGACAAACCTACCTAGGTTTCACCTAAACGGATCGTCAGGGAAAGTTTGGCTAACGAGTCAAAGAGAACACACATATTTATAGGTGATATATATATATATATATATATATATATATACTCTTTGTACAAATTCTGATATTAAGCACTATTTTCTTTACGTTGATAATACTCCTCCGAATAGGCGAGCCGTTCCAATCAATGCAATCCTTGTAATCTCTTGCAACCAGGGACTAGAAGATAGCTCATTAATATACCCAAAACTCCAATTGGGAATCAATTAAGTGCAAATACACTTGGTGAAATGTATGAATCCATCTCTACTCCCCCGAGCTATGGATTAAAAAGCAGGACTGACTGGATTCTAAACCTTTGGTTGGCAACCAGTCTATCACAGAAAGAAATGACAACCTACTGCGATAAAATATTCTGCTTAGTCATTAATCAGAAGAGTCGTTCAATTGTGTATACAGTGTGGCACTTAACCGACTGATAAGACTGAATAACAGGATGGGCGTATTGGACTTCGTATATATGTACCCTCCACGTTTTAAGGTGCTACATATCTTTTCAAGCCTCACGCACCATGGTCCTTTGAACAGGAGTAGAGGTTTATCTTTTGTTTCCTGTTTAGGATTGGGGTTATGGTTCCTTCTTAAGTCTTCTCATTCTCTTTCACTCCCAGTAGGGGCTACTGGGAGTGAAAGAGACTGTGTCTTAATGGCATTATCACCTTGCTTGGGGTGAAATGATTAAAAAAAACAATCCTGAAATTTATTTATTTTGTCATTCTTTAACAGATACATTTTATATCGGATGGTACTGCCATATTTGTGGCAAGGTGTTTTTTGTTTGCAGTCTTTAACCATGAAGCCTAGTCTATTAGCTTTTCTATGCTCTGTTATTTTTATAAGGTACAGTCCTAAAGTATAGTGGATTTCTGTAACTGGTTCAAGCCGATGTCCATACCATTTTTGAACATGTGGCTCATTGTGAGACTGACATATCATCCAGTGAATATATTACCCAGTCTTCTGTCAATCTTTGTATTCCTTCAGCATTTCTTGAATAAACAAACACTAAATAGTCAACAGACTGAAAATGTTGTTTTCCAAAATCTTAATATTGTGTCGAAACCATTCTTTATTATAATCACCTGGTAATTCCTGGTGAGGTTTTATGTTTATCCACAGCGAAATCATTATTTCTGATTGCATATTGTCTATGGCGGTATTTTTGTTAAAAAGTGTTTTGTTTTTTAATGTTTGACCCTTGTTTCTTAGTGTCCTTATTAATACAAATTTGAACTGAATTTATTTGTTACGTATTTTTATTTATTCTTTCACAGTGAAGTTGAATTCTTTTAAGAATTTGTTTTCTTTATAAATGATGTAAACCTTTTACTTTTCTCATGAATGTTAACCATTTATAGATAGAAGTTTCTAAATATTTTAAAACCAGTATTTGTTATTTTGTAGGGGAAATACAAGGTGAATTTAAACCCTTGCCATCATTACTTTTAGAAATATAAAGACGATCAAAATCAGCGTGTTAAGGTAAGTCATTAATTTATTTTATTATTTGGAATCTCTTTTCTTTAGTTTAGCTACAGTCCATTTGATAATATTGGAGCTCTAAGTAACAATTGGTATCACTAGCTTATTTATATTCATAGCATTGAGTTCTTATTCTTTTCTAGAAGTTCTTTCTAACCTTTTCCTTTGCCTTACGCCATCTGCCTCTTTAATTTCTAGATATTTGTAAACATTCTCCTTGTCTCATTTTTCATTGCACAATAATTTACAATGTTATTGGCCTGAAAGCCTAGCTTTTCTGGAAATGTTTTTGCACATTTCTCAAGGCCCAACTACATGCCTAGATAATCACTGACTTTTTTTTTTAATGTGTTTAGAAACAAAGAAAAAGAGTACTAATAGTATATTCTGTCTTGGGATTATACATGTTAAGGCAAGTCATCATTTTTTAAATTTAGTATGCCTGTTCTTTATTTCAGCTACAGTCCATTTGATAATATTAAAGCTATAAGCAACAACTGGTATCACTAGCTAATTTATACCCATAATCCAATTACGAACATTGACTTGAGTATATAGTATTACTTGTATCCTTTGGTAGAACTATTCACTTTTTCTTTGCTTGCCACATGCTTTAGGATATCTGCCTGCTGGATTCCTTGGCATTTGCAGAGCTCACACTGGTTTAGCTCTTTTGTGCCATTTGACATCTTTTATGCAATCTGATTCCTGGATTTCGAGATATTTGCAGACCTCATCCTGGTGTAGCTCTTTTGTGCCATCTGCCTGCTGGATTCCTTGATATTTGCAGACCTCACCCTGGACGAGCACTTTTGTGTCATCTGCCAACTTTTATGCTATCTGTCTTCTGGATTTCAATATATTTGCATTGTATTTATTTATCTAGGGAGTCATACATTGTGTATCTCTGTTCATGGGTGGGAGCATCATGACCGAATGTCGATTTTTTTTTTAATGTTTTAAGGATAAAGCAGTCAAGGTGGCTTGGCAGTTTCATCTAAATACTTGGGGAAACACTCCATCAAAGACCGTTTGAGTAGAAGTCGATTGAGGAACATAACATATTCGTTCACACCGACTAAAAACGGAAACATGAAAAAGATACACGTGTATTATTAATATATTGAGATGGGGAATAGTTTTGTAAACAAATCACATTCAGTCCCCGCAACTAGTCCTTCTCTTTACATAAAGAAAGTTGTCTTAAATGAAAATAATTTCAATGACTTTTAAATGATAGAATGTGATCTGAACAAAACTTTCTCTCGAAATATGCAAATTCTAGATGTGGTTTTTTTTTCTGATCCGTGAGGAGAGGTAACAGGTTATTACACCCAATATAATTTTGATTTTCTCTTTTTTTTTTTCTGATCCGTGTGGAACGATAACCGGTTATTTAATTCAATATCTTTTTTTTCTTTTTTGCTCCTAATTTTGTATTATAATTGTTGTTTTCCCTTTTCGTCCATTTTAAATATTGCTGTTCTTATTGATTTAACTAGCAGCATGGCCCGGCGTTGCCCGTGCTTGATTCAAAAATCGTACAACTCATACAGCAATCGCTATCACTTGAATTAAAATATTTTTGCCATTCCTTGTCTTTAAATGAGTGCCCTTTTGCCGTGCTGATGCTGCTACATGCCTTACTTCTTGCCTATCTCACACTGCGATTTTTTTCTAAGCTCTATACTAAACATTAAATCTGTTACGAAAAAAGAACTAAACAAAATTAACACAAAAGGATCAGTTTTAAAAAAAAGGACTCGTAACTAGAAAAACCGAATGAAAAAAAAATGTTAACAACAAATACTTTTTCACACCCAACCCAGTTTCTGCGGAATCAGAATCAACGTTGAGTTTAAGCAAGCGAATGAGTCAATTGGAGTAAAGTGCCATGCAGATTTAATTTTTTCCCACTTGTGACGAATGCAGCTATCGATTTTTTTTGCATGCGAGCATGCTAGTTAACATTCGTGTCAGTCAGCTGTTGGCTCTCACGCTAACCAATAAAATCTTCCTGCCTATTTATGGCAGCCAGCTATAGGCTCTCACTCTGGCAAGTAGAAAATGGCCGCAAACTACATGAAAACTGCCGTAGAAGCATGAAAAAATCGATTATTTCCACTATTGGTGGGAGTTGGGAAAAGCAAAGTCGGTCTTGGCCTTCCCGCTAACTTGGAGCTTGTGCATGCAAATTTTGGTACAAAATTGCGGCCGTGCATTCGTTATACACACACACTCATCCTGCCTTTTATAGACAGAGATTAAAATTTCTCTCTCAAATGATCTCTTCTTCTGTAGAACTTCTTTTCTAACTCTTTCTTTGTTTGCCACATGTTTTATGTCGTCTGCCTAAGTGTAATTTATTGACCTTGTTCTTGTCACGATCTTTTATTGCTGTATCTTATATCATTCATAATGTTATTGGCATGGGCACGTCAATATAATGTAGTGGTTAACAAGCTTCTTTCTCTAGAACTATTACAACCGAATAGCAAGTTTGATCCTCATTAGGTGTCACATAATTTAGGTCTTGTGCCACATCAAAGCTATGGCTAGAAAATCACCATAATGTTATTGGCCTTCACAAGCTTCTTCTATCTGCTGTGTTCCTTCAGGAAGTGGATGATCATGACTCTCCACAATTTCTTTTGTAGCTCTTAGTAAATTTTGTCATTTCTCCATTCTATTTAACATCAGGAAGAGACACTTGAAATTTCTAGTGCACATAATGAGGAAAGGGGGCTTGGGAAATCTGATGCTCACAGGACAGATTGAAGGCAAGAGGAACAGAGGAAAACTCATAACCTACTTAGTGAGCTTGAGTAAATTGATGGCTGAACAGGGTTTAGAAGAAATAGCAACATTTATTGACAGCGACGATGGAATGGAAATTGTGGTGAGCCATGACCAGCTACGTCCTGAGAAGACATGTCACATAAAGAAGATGATGTAGAATAGGTATATGTCCTTAAATATCCTCGTCCGATCTTGACTCTCATATTAATGTTATGCATGGCTCCCAAATCCTTCATAAATGTTTAAACTGTCAACTGTATAAAATCGTTTTCTCAGATGAGTGACTAAAAACGGATTCAAGTGAAGGAATCCTTTCGGTCTCAAAGAAAAAAAATCTTTGGTCAAATCCAATAGATTGGCCTTAGGAAATTACAAAGCCTTACTCGAATAACAAAAATCAAATCATTTGAAGACTTCTAACAGTAACGAAAAAAAAAGGTTATCACCTGTAACTAAAAGAGAAATTAATGATATAATTAAGATGTTCTTTTTATTGTCCTTTCTCTTTAGTAATGTTTATTATTTTTGTAGCACGAAAGAAAATGGCTTACCTTCTGGAAGAAAACAGATTCAGACGTATCTCACGTGTAAAGTATCCTAAAAAGAAAATGGCGGCTTTACAAGTCGTATATTTAAGAAAAGATAGATATCGGGATCGGATAGTTTCGCGACACTCTTCTTTTTTTTGTACCTATGCAAATTTGACCTGCCACTCAATCTATAAAATGGGCATAATGAAGTTACAGACCAGTGCCACTGTGGTAGCGAACATGTAGAGGACCGTAGGGTGACGATATAAAGAACACACGTGGGTTGCAATTTCCTGCTAGCCGGTCCAGCTACATGAAAGTGTTGGCCTTTAATTAAGTCCAAAGAAGATAATGAAAACAAACAAGACCGATAATTATATACAAACAAATATATGTATTAACAACTTACAAGCACATGGACAGTTACATTGAGTTTGTGTGGTGAATATTATATGTGTGTATTGTGGTGAGTGCTTGTACGTACGTGTATTGGTATTGTTCTTAGCGTTTTCCCAGAATTTGGGAAACGCTGTATTGGTGAGAGCTCACATATTGGTATTAGCTGAAATGAAGAAAGAAGAGAAAAAAATTACCTCACTTCCACGCGAGGTGGTATACGGCCCAAGGCCTGAGGGGGAAAAGAGAGATCGAGGCAAAAGGTCACCCAGTATTTATAGCAAGGGAAGAGAGACCCCTGGTGAAGGATTAAGGAACTAAGGAGGAGCTAACTCCGACAAACAGAAGATACGCGTGTTGGATTGTTTGACTTACGCTACGCTGTTTAGTGAAAGAAACGAATTAGGGAACTTTATATTTCAATCAAGAACAAATTGATTAGAGTTTCTTTTACAAATAACCATCAGTGTTTTAATGCTTTTATCACCTTGCTTGGGGTAAATGATAAAAATAAAACAAAATGCAATATTTCTTTTTACATTTCTCATAACATTTATCTCACTGTAGCATCAAGTTAAATGTGGTCTTAAAATATTTTTTATTAACTAATAGTTCTTTAATCTGTAGGTGAACTCTAGTTGAAATTAAACCTTTACCACTATTACTAATAATCAAAATCACATCACTTGAAGACTTCCATCAGTAACGACAATAACCACAAAAGGTTAGCACATGTACCTAGAATAGAAATTGTATAATCAAGAGGTTGGTTTTCCACAACACCCTAAGCAAAAGGCTTGGAAGGAAATTACCATCAATATTATAAACTGCGACAACTCTTACTTGACTAGTTTTTCCTGAAAAGATTTTCTAAATTCCCACCAAGTGTGACTGCTAAGTTCACTATTACCATATATTTGAAAAGGTGTTAATTTTATGCTTTGCTTCAAGTTCAATTTTAAGAGGAATATATTCTGGATAAATAACAGAAATGGAATCGCTTTGGAAAATCTCGCAAATGTTAATCTGGTGACACCGCCATATCTATAAGAGGGGTTAATTTTGCTGTTGTTGTTCGATCTACAAGCAGCAAATTTTGCTGGAGATGGAACCAAAATACCAGCTACCCACAACCTGTAATCTGACGATAGCAGATTTTCAACATGATTCAAAAACTTTTCGTCGTATACGAGCAGTTCCAGAGAATTCTGTCTTATGTAAATGTCCAATTTTGATATTGGCCCCAATCTTCTCCAGCTATTTCGAAACCACTATACTGATGGTACCCAGAGCCCCAACAACAATCAGAATGACTTCCACTTTCTTCATTCTTCATTGATGACAATTTGTATACTTACCGTTTTAAACTATCATAGTTTTACTTCTTTTTCTTTGATTCTATTGTCTGCGAGACATGCAACATCTATGATGTTGCATGTTCCTTCTTTATCTATCACAACAATGTCTAGTTTTATGCGGTTTATCATTATTCTTCCCTTTGATTTCTGCTGTATACTAATTTCTTTCCGGTTCTCAACCAAAAACCTAAGGTTGGAAGTGGTATGATGACATTTTCTTCTGGACATTTGTTCCAAAATAAAAATCACTGCTATATAGGAGAACATATACAACATAAAATTTCAGTATACTTTTCTTTGTTTTTTATGAGATTTTCGTGTTTCTTAATACTTAGTTTTTGGAAGGCATCTTTCGTTATCGCATTGCGTCTTCGGATTTCCGTTTTATTCCATTCCTTTTACAGTCTTCTTCAGCTTTATACTCCTAACGGATGTACTGTCCTATTCTAATATAACTGCACACAGCCTCTGTTCAATGCGTCCTGACGAGAAGAGAGCAAAGGAAATCAAACCACTCCTTGAAATCATAAGGGAACGCATTAGCAAGTTGAGTAGAGCGGAACCGTTTGCCAAAAAAGAAACGGGAAGGTGTCAGGACCCGGAATTCCGTCAAAGAATTTCCTTTCCACTTCACGAAGCAGTCGTTTAAGGAGAAGACTAGTGAAACACTGAGTGTTGAGCAAGAGGAGCTGTAAAGACACTTTATGAGCACGTACTCTGATGCCAACAGGGACGTTCCAGGAGAGTCGGTGCCAAGTTTATTCAGGCTTGGTGTCCCTGAAACAGCTTTTGATGAGTCCCCAGTGTCTTGGAAGAAAGTGGAAGGAGTGGTGCGGAAGTCGAGAGTGTGTCCTGCGGGTGGTCCTAGTGGTCTGACATATGCTGTACCAGGCTGCTGGGGTGTACGTGGAGGCTTTTTGTGAAGATCTGTGAAGTTGGTGATGTTCCAGAGTGTTGGGGTCAAGCTGATGGTGTTTATATACCGAAGGAGGAGAATTCGTTGTCTCTTGTTCAGCTTCATCCAATCTCTCTCGTGAACGTCGAGGGAAAGGTGTTCTTGCCTGGAGTCTGACGATCTACTTAGCCAGGAATAACTTCATAGGCACTAGTATCCAAAAGGCATGAGTCCCAGGTTTTACGGGGTGCTTGGAACATGTGTCAATGATTTGAACATAGATCCGCGAGGATAAGACTGCGAGGAAAAATACTTGTGTCATCTGGGTGGATCTTGCTAACACGTACGGTACAATTTCCCATAGCTTGATACAGATGGCGCTGGAGTTCTTCTACGTTCCACAGAAGGATTGTCTGGGTTTGTACTTTGATCCGTTCACATTGTGTTTTTCAACGATGAAGTAGACCACTAGGTATGAGAGGCTGGAGAAGCCGATTGCTATGGTATGCGCCATCTCTCCAGTACTGTGTATGATGGGGATGGAGGTGATCCTGAGAGGTCTGAAACCAAAGCACCGCTTCCTGCAGAATTAGGCCAAAATCTGGACATTTATGGACGACTTCGCAGTAATTCAAGACGATGGAAAAGTAGCACGGTTGGTTCCTGAGAGACGTGAGGAATAAGTAGAGTGGAGTCAAGTGGCTTTCAAACCAAAGAAGAGCAGATCACTGTCTATGAAGCGAGGTTCTGCCATTAATGAAGTGTTCTATATCGCTGACGAAAAGATACCAATAATGCGGGAGCAAGGTGTGAAGAGTCTTTGGGAAGTGGTATACTTTCCCTGTGACAGATTGTCACCACGGGTTTGAAATCCAGCGACAAGTGGAGGCGGGTCTGCGAAGCATAAACCAAAGCGGACTTTCAGTGAAATTTAAAGTCTGATGTATGCACTTTGTTTTGATATCGAGAATAATGTGGCCGCTATATATGAGTAGGCACTGACTCATATATTCTTCTTCTTCTTTATTATTATTATTATTATTCTCGCTACAAAAGCTTTCATGCTTCAATACTTTGATTGTACTTCTTCTGGTGATGGCAAGTAACTGGGGATTAAATGATTTTTAAGAAAATTTATAAACAAAGTGTTAGCTCTTTTCCAAAAGTTAAAAAGAAGTTAGAACTCAGGAGAATAGACCGTCCTGCAAGCAAGAGAATTCAATAAATGCTCGCCGATTGCGCAGTCAGGAGCCTGTGAACACATGGATGTTACAGGCACATGTCTCCTTATAAATATATTTGTGTGTGCGTGTATATATATATATACATATATGTGTCTCTGTGTCCGTACATATGTATATATGTGTGTGTATATATATATATATATATATATATATATATATATATATATATGTGTGTGTGTGTATATATATATATGTGTGTGTGTGTGTGTATATACATATGTGTGTGTGTCTGTGTATATATATATGTGTGTCTGTGTATATATATATGTGTGTGTGTCTATATATATGTATGTGTCTGTATATATATTATATATATATTTCTGTGTCTATAAAATATATATATATTTAAATTACGAAGAACTTGGTAAACCGAATGGAGGATGAAATCCTGAGAGCTCAATGTTTAATATATATATATATATATATATATATATATATATATATATATATATATATATATCTGTGTATAAATATATATATATTTGTGTCAGTGTATGTTTTATATATATATATATATATATATATATATATATATTTGCATCTCTATGTATATGTATATATATATGTATGTATATATGTGTGTGTGTGTGTATATATATTTGTGTTTGTGTATATATATATATATATATATATATATATATATATATATATATATATATATATATATATATCACATTCACTGAGAAGATGTTTCTAAAGAAAAAACTTGATATGCTAATACAAATTTATTCTTGTGTTGTTTCGTAGGTATGATAATGTAAGCAGTTTTCACTGTGAATAATTTTGAGTGGCTTCTTCATATACGGAAAATACGGAAATCGATCAATGAATTTTATGTGTGTGTGTGTGTGTATGTCTTTGTCTGTGCGTGTCTTCAACAATGCATCACTGATGTCTGCAGTTTGATAATAAAATAAGATTTATACAAATATCTTTATCTGCATTCTTTTTTTCCTGTTAATGCTCCTAATTCAATTCTTTTCCATTAATCACGTAGATTGAACGCAATAGAGTAAAATATTCATCTCAAAATATAATCAATATTTCATGCTGCTGACTTAATGATACTATTGTCGAGCGACATACACACAGAGACATATATATATATATATATATATATATACGATGCCGATGCTACTAGATTTCATGTCTTCTGTCTCTGCAGCTCTCACGTTCTTAGCAAAACGTCGGAAGATCCTCCAGCGCCAGCTTAATCTTTCTGAAGTCCTGGCGGGCTACGTCCTTCCAGCGACTTCGTTGTCCGCCGCGAAGTAGTCGCTAGTCTGCAGATGGCGGGTCGTACTTGTACATGACTGGCGGCATGGTCATCGGTTCGTCACACAAGTTGACCGAGCCAGAGATGTAATAATATAAATATATGATCATAGGTATAATGTACAGTGTGATGTAATATGCATAAAGACATTGGTTACATAGAAATCAACATCCTATTGTAACTGGCCGTTTCACACCTAAAGCAATCACCATACAATGTTAGTGATAACTTCAACAATAATAAATACTGTGAGGATTTCACATGCATCACTATGTTACACATGTCTATATTGCTGAAATGAGATATTGTAACTATTTACATTGTTCCGACTGTTGTCTTCATCTTTATTGTCATATTCAAAACGTTTAGTCGGACATATGGATAAAAGCGTTGCTTGAAGTAATCCAGCGACTTGACCCAAGAAGTTGTGAGTTCTATACCTGGCCACAGCAGAGGTAAACAAAAACTTAGAGAGTTGAGTTACTAAAGGGAAATAGCTGAAACTGAGGCATTCAGAAAAGGCATAGCATGTGGAACTAGAACAATCTCCTCCATTTGATGAAATAAAGGGATCAGTTTGAAGTTCCAACATGTCTCACCTGAAGAATATTTTATAAATAATACTATAATGTTGTAATATTATACATTGTTACGATACTTTTTATACTGTATTTTTATATGGTACTAAATATTTGCAGATGTATTATACTGTACTTTTTTATTCTTATATTTTTAAGTTTTATATACTGTTTACATTATTATAATATATACAGTACTGTATTATATTATTGTACAGTACATATGTTATTGTGGAACACACCTATTCTATAGTTAATAGACTCTCCCACCTATAATAAGTAGGAGTAGTAAGAGTAACATAGACGTCGCTCAGTGAGTTGGTCAGTCAGTCGATGTCGGACGACCGCTAGTCTAAAAGTATCAGCGACCACAACTAGATTACTGCATCATACCTATTATATGAAGTTCCTAACGTTTTGTACGTCGAACCTGTTTTAGGACCGACTTAGTACAAATACAAGCCTCCACTGTGAAATCACTCCCCATCAAATCTGGCGAAGAGGTATTCGGATTCATACGGTCGAAGAAAAAAAAAATTCGTTCACCCCGTAACAAATCTGGCGACGAGGGATTCGTACTCATACGGAGAAGAAAAAAAAATTCAAACTCATCCGGAGGAAAAAAAATTCGTTCGTTACATAACAAATTTGGCGACTAGGAATTCGTACTCATACAGAAAAAAAAAATTCACCCGCCATAACAAATTTGGCTACGAGGGATTCGGATTCATACAGTAGAAGAGGGAAAAAAAATTGCGTTCGCCACAGTATTATTTGGCGAAGGGATTCGGATTTATGCGGTGGAAGAAAAAAAATTCGCTCACAACAACATTTGGTAACGAAATTCGTATTCATACGGAGGAAAAAAAAAAGAAAATTCGCCACAACATTATTTGGTGACGAAATTCGTACTCATACGGAGGAAAAAGAAAAAATTTGCTCGTCACAATTTCGGCGACATCTCGGATTCACATTTAAAAAAAAAAAAATTGGCAAAGTTTTTCGAAAGACAAGACGTCAACTTAGTGACGAAAAAATCAGTCGTATTCTCAACTGAGAAAATAATTTTTTTCTCGATAAGACAGTTTGCTCAAATAGGTCACGAATTGCAAATTGTAGGACCCCAACCCTCTACAATATTTGAGCATTGTGTAAACATTTTGCGAAGATGGAGGAATGCAAAATATATTCCAGGAATTTTTAAGTTCCAGACGGAACAACAGATGACAATATTAGAGCAACAGAAGACATTCCAGATGCAACTACAGGAGCAAATTTTTAATAGACAAATGCAATTTCAACGAGAAATGGAACATATGCGTAGGTAGTTTCAAAACAAAATTCTGGAAATAACTCAGAAGAGGAAAGAGAAAAATCTACAAAATGATTCTTTCCCAGAGAATACAATATGGAATTCAATTGAAATATTCACGTACAGTCCAGATGAAGAGATAACTTTTGAGGAGTATTATACTAAATATACGGACGTGTATAACGAGGACTGCCACTCGTGGTCTGAAGGAAAAAAGGTTAGACTTCTTTTAAGCAAGTTAGGAACTGCTGTGCATAACGAATTGGTAAACTACATTTGACCGGAAAAACTAGCGAGTTGACATTTACCAAGGCGGTAAATATATTAAGTGAATTATTTAGTAAAAAGACATCTTTGTTTCACAAGAGGTGGAAATGTTTTTCAGACGTGGTTGACAGCGGTCCCGCGGAAAAAACGCCGATGGAGGGGATTTGCAATACGTTTGATCTAACAACAATTTTTACCTGAGGTACGCCGATCCAGAAGAAAAAAGAAAGACAACTGATCATTTAAAAGTGGATAAAAAAAAACGTAGGAGATACGCTACGATATTGTTTTAAAAAAAAATGACATTTTTTTGTTGTTTTTTCTTCATATTTCCTGTAAAAAATGAAAAATAAATAAAGAAAACTATTTACTCCTACGAAGTAAAGTTTTAGGGGGGGTGTTTTAGTGGAACACACCTATTCTATAGTTAATAGACTCTCCAACCTATA